ATCGCCCTGCGATAATTTAAAAATACAATTTGTATCGCCCTGCGATAATTCGTATTGCCCTGCAATAATTCATACAGGACCTGTCACCGCTATCCAAGTCTCCATGGAGCACCCGGTCGGAGTCCAGCATCCTGCCCCTGGACTCATACCCTGTTCCCGTAGGAAGGTAAGGCCCATTCGGGGTCCTATCTTATGTGTTACCGCTGTCAAAGCCTCGCAAGGTCTTTGATTCGGATTCCACCCTTATACGTGATCACGCTGTAAGTCCATGCTATCCATCTCGCTCTCTAGAGCCAAGTAGGGCCATGGTCCTTACATCTATCCTATTGTGGGCCCATGCAGTCCGGCACGATCCTCAGACTCGTCCGACCCATGACCCTCATCTATCTATATTAGCAAGTTCATGGGGTCGGGCATCTATCCTTAGACTAGAGCCAAGCCATGACCCTTGCTACCAATCAAACAATCAATTACGGGTATCCTAAAGACCACCCGGATAATAATATCAACAATCCAATCCTAGGATAATTATATCATTTAAATCATCTAAGGCTATCCCAATTGAATACCCTAGTGACGAAGCATCACAATCCTAAACTTAGGATTAATTTATAAATGTTCATATTATAACCTCGGACTAGTCATTTAGTATCACCCGAGTTATTCTTAGTTCAAATTCTCTTTCCCTTTTAAACAAACGTGGCGGCCATGCCATAACTCATTCTCACTCCATTCTATATTGACTTTACTAACCATAAAATCAATATAATTAAATAGTGATTAATAAAAACATTTTATTAGTTCATCACTAAATCAACTAGAACAACTCCTCAAACATATCAAGTAATCATGCTCCAATTACTCATACCCCAATCAATCATGCATCAACTCTTCATATACAACAATATGATCAATTGACACTTTACTTGGCATATTAGTTAATTAAAATCATGCTTTTATAACATTAGGTAATCTCATGAATTAACCCACTAGTTATAAACAATATAGTCAGCCATCCTCACCTTATGATGTGCTCAACTAGTTGCCTTTGCTAAGCCCTTCGATCAATCCCCGTTCTAGGCCGATTGGAAGTGAAAATTCTGGACAGCAGACAAAAGCCGGGCGGCTTTTGCAAAAGGTGGGCGGCTTTCGGGCCTGCAGCTCGAAAACAGTCCCCAACAATGGCGGTTTCCGGCGATTTCAACTCCTATCGATTCCACAACTCTTCTAAGTTAAATACCACCACTTTATATCAATATTATACACTTTTAAACGTGTAGAACTTCAAGTCTAATCCATCATATGATTTCTAAAAAATCATTAAACATAAAACTAGTTAAGAGATAACATTTGTGTTCTTACCTCTTTTCCTAGCTAATTCCTCTTGGATTTCCTATCCTTCTTCTTCCTCCAAGTTTGCTGGTTGTGAGAGCTTTTCCTTGAGCTCCTTATCCCTATGGTTGGTTCGTATGGCTCAAAAATGAAGGAGGGAGGATATCTTCTCAATTAAATTGAGAAATAATGTATGAGTAGGATAATGAGAGGTGTGGTTTGTCCTCAACCATCCTCTTATTCACTTGTCCGCACAACCATGTTGGTTTGTCCCCCTTTCCATATTATTTGAGGCTTAGTTGACTTGTAAAATATCTCAAGTGGGTGTAGGAAGTTTCTCCCAATTATTCCAGCTATTTTTGGCAGGTTGGGTCAAAATAACCCTTGGGTTGCCCAAACATTTTCCTGAACTTTGGTTGGCACTTTATTGGGCTTCTATAATTATTATGATGAACCAACTAAATATTCGGTAGTCCCCTCTCAGTATCATGGGCCCGATAAATAATTTAATTAATCATTCATTAATTAAATATATCGTTTTTGCACACAAAAATATTCGCATAGAAAATTCAAATACGTATTGAATTTCAAATTCAAGTACATCCGGATGCTGTGTCACAGAACAAGCCCAGCAAGCACATGCGGCCCGAATACAACAACCCAAGATGGAGCAACCCATTCCCCACAAGGGAGTGCCTTCAGCAACAAGGCCGAATGCTCCAAACTCATGGAATCGCCCTGATTCTGGCCATCAACGTGTCTGAAACCTTCATCTTCTCGAACAAGTCCTTGGTCATCAGCCCTCAGTATTGAGGTCGAAGGCCTCAACCTCGGCAAAGACGCCTCCCTCTGTCCTACGCTCCTCAGCTCCCAACCACTGCATTTAATGCTACGCCATGTGTCAGCATCCGCATCATGGGGGGCTCTCCGCCATAGATTAACTTACACGTGTATGTGCATTTAATGCATCTACCATTTATTACTAGTATAAATACCGTCCTTTGGGCAGTTGTAACATATTACTATTCATTTAATACTATTGCACTCTGTCTCTCTCTCTCTTACTTATTGCTCTACCTTCTCTCTAGACACCACTAGTGATGTCCCGGTACAGACTATCTATCACATACTATTTTCTCTTTTCTACTTTATCATTACTTTACTCTTCTTAATATATATATTTCCTACCTTTTCATTTATCTTACACCCTCTATACTATCTCTACTATTTCTTCTTAAAACTCACAAAAACAAACTAAGGAGACCATTACTTAAGAACGAATGGAGTATTGGAATTTAATTAATGTTTGACTAAATTGATATGTACAAAATATGTTGAGTGTATTTTATTGATGGTGCTGAAATATAGAGATAGAAAAACAATGTTTATAGAGCTGTTGTTTTTATATTGACTTGATCCATATTTAAGTCTATATACATTACGTAATTCATATTTGTACACATTTTGCACACATTTGTACTTCACATAGACAATATGTACACCCATTATTTGCATCTGTACACAGTAGTTTGTACGGTAATTGTCCATGTCCGCAGACAAATGTGTGTGAAATGTGTGTAAATTTTGGGTACAACAAAAACTACGGAGTATTAATGTTTTAATTGGGTGACTGTACATAGCAAAATAGAGTTTGTTAATGGAAAATTTCACCCTACAATAGTAATAGTAAGACCTCAAATCCAAATCAAGATGAACTGGCTAAACGTATAAATTCTTCCATAAATATCACTCCGTACTTCATAGGAAACACTCCCTCCTATCTCAATGTTCGACCAATTTTCCTTTTTTGACAAAGTTTCCTAATCTATTATAGTAATTGTTCTTGATGCACCTTCCTTATATATTCACATTTATCAAATCATTTTCCAAAACAAACAAATGAGATATGTCTCTGCCTTCCTTAATGAAGCGGAGGATTGAGTTTTATTAGTTTTCCAATTTTGAAATACGTGGATGTTGTTGCAATGAATTTATACACTTACGCCGAGTAGTGGACCGAATCCCGTTCCGGTCTCAGTTCTGATCCAGTCAATGACCTGACATTCTCTGTCTGGTTCGGTCAACAACCTAGCGATCTCTGTCTGATTCGGTCAACAACTTAGAAGTCCATGTCTGGTCCAATTGACGATCAGGCACTCCAGTCAATGACTCAGCAGTTTCTGTTCGAACTAGGCAATGACCAGGCAATCCTTATCTGATCTGGTCAATGACTCGGAGGTCCATGTCCAGTCCGGTCGTCGGCTGGACGGTCCCTGCTCAATCTGGCCAACGACCTAGCGATCTCTGTTTGCTCTGGTAAACAACCTAGTGACCACTGTTTGGTACAATCAATGACCCAATTGTCCCTATCCAGTCCCGTCAATGACTTGGCGGCCCTTGTCCGGCCCAATCCATGACTCGACGATCCATCTTCGGTCCAATCAACGACCCCACGATGCTTATCTGGTCCGGTCAACGACTTGGCAGTCTTTGTTCGGTCCAGTCAATGATCCGGTGGTGCCTGTCCAGTCTGGTCACCGACGGTCCCTGTCTGGTCCGATCAGCGACCCTTCGGTCCTTGTCTAGTCCGATCATCGACTTGATGGTCCCTGTCTGGTCCGATCAACGACCCGACGGTCTATGTCCAGTTCGGTCAATGACCCGACAATCCATGTCCGGTCAAGTTAATGACCAAGCGATTTCTGCCCAGTTCAGTCAACGACCCGACAGTCCATGTCCGGTCGATGACCAGGCGATTCTAGGCCCGACCAATCCGATCAATGACTTGAAGATCCCTGTCCACTCCGGCCGATGAGCCGGCTGTTCGACCTCCGTTTTTTAAAATCATTTCTCAATGTGAAGAGTTTCAAAAGAGTCATAGAGTTGTCAACTAATAGGGAAACTGAAAATGAAATAGTCAACTTAGCGGTTGGGACCGATCGAGACTGGCCGCTTTTGCTCCCAACTTTTCTGTACCCGGGGCCGTTCAGCCTACTTGGGTTGTACTAGATTTGGTTCATGACCAGAACCGTACTTTCGATCTTCTGGTCAATCCTAGAATCAGGTGATTAAATTTGATGAACATGTTTTCAAATTTGAAAACGGAAAAGTGGAAAATGAAAACAGAAAATTGGAGATAGAAAAACTAGAAAATTAAAACAAAAAATTTGAGAACAGAAAACAAAAATAAAACTGAAAAATGTCTTAATAAACGGGCCCTTACATTCCTTATTTTGATTCCAAAATGTACCAGTACTTCCTTTTTTTTCGTTAATGATTTCGTCAAGGAGGAAATGTACTAGCTACCTTACAGAGAATAAAAAACTAATCCAAAGGATAATTATCGAGTTTAATGGCCTATCTACACTGTTAACCACAAATCATGACTTGACCCCACCACAAGGTGCTATACTTACAATTTATGCATCACCAGTCAGAAATTTGAAATCACAAAGCTGGGGAAAGGAAAAACTTACTCTGATATTAAACCTTTTCCCAAAGAGATGGTAAAGGCAATGGATAAGTAAATACTCCTATAATAATGTCTTTTTGTTACCACAAATGCAAGCATGTTCAGACTTCAGAAGAGCTGTCATAATTCATAACAGCAATTGTATATATAGATCCCTGAAAAAAGCTTTGAACTTTAACAGACATGGAACGAACGCCTACTAATGACTAATCTACCTGATCAAAAATATGCCTATTGAGCTAAACAAGTAGGGGAAAATAGATTTCAAAGATCAGTGAAACCATTAAGCAAACAGAAAAACAATTCAATGGAGATAATTCTCCTGTGATAACTTACATACATGTTTCTAACTTACAGTTACAGAATTTGTTCAACTTCACTCTCCATTTTTTGATGAAATTAGACTTGCGCTTACAGAACAACTCAAACTCACATTTAACACTAGAAAGCTCTTTTAGGTCATTACCAGTGTCAGATAATGTGAAATTAGATCACAAAAGCTGGTTCCAAAATTATGAGAAGCCTACTTATTGCTTCTTTGACAATGTCCCTCCATGCCCTCACTGCTGCGCACAATTACTACATTCAAATGTAATGAAATACTTGGCATATGTGTGAATATAGATATTGTCTATATGCATAACAGCATAAGAGAAATTCCAATTTCCTTATTCAAGTGGCCGGGTTCCACTAGTTACAACTTATACGGTTAAGAAGGGCCTTATTTTGGAATTCAAAATACAGTTGATACACAATTCCAAAATGAAAACACTCTACTTTTGCCCCCACGACTATTTAGTCATCCCTTTTGATTCTCAACTTTCACTTTTCCACTTTTGGTGCACAACCATAGATTTTTTTGTCACTCATACTCTGCCTGACTACTTATCCGATCCTTTCTTTACAAGTTCCAGATGATTTTCACCAGATAAGTGACCAGAAGAGATGAGAAGCAACAAGAAATCTTAGTCGTGCACGAAAAGAAGGAAATTATGAGTTATGATTCACAAATGGAATATTTTCTTCCAAAAATAAATACAAAGAATATGACGTAGCATTTTATATATATAAAAAATACTTATGGTAGTTCAAGTCATGCATCTGCCTCTTCTGACTCTTAACCATTTCTGATAGACTCAAGAACCTGGACAACCTCAGCCATGCTTGGCCTTCGAGCAGGTATTTCAGAAGTACAAACCAACCCTAATTTCATTACTTGAATCAACTCATTTTCTACAAACCCACGCAAAATTGTATCAAAACAGTCCGTAGCAGCACCTCTATCTATCAAGCGCCTAACATATTCACACAAAACCACAACCTCATTTGCCGATGGACTCTCCACGGGGTTCCTCCCTGTAACCAACTCCAACAGCACAACTCCAAAGCTATAAACATCACACTTGTTGCTGACTCGAATACCCTGAGCTAACTCTGGAGCAATATACCCAACCGCATTATGGGATTTGGTTCGTCCGTAATTGTCAAGAAGTGGGAGTAACTTTCCCAAACCATAATCAGATAGTTTGGGCTCATAGTTTTCATCCAGCAGTATATTAGTGGACTTCACATTGAGATGAAGAACAGAAGGGTTGCAGTCATGGTGAAGGAAAGCAAGTGCCTTTGCTGTTCCTAGTCCAATCTGGAATCTTCTAGGCCAATTCAATTCAGGGTTGCCAATACCATTGCTGGTTCCTGGATAATTATGTCCACGTAGATTATCACATAGATTTCCATTTTGAACAAATTCTGACATTATTAATTGCATATTAGAAGACCAGTAGTAGCCTTGTAAATGGACGATATTGGGATGTTCAAGGTTTGCCAGCCGTCCGATTTCTTGTTCAAACTCATCTTGATTTCTGATTTTTCCTAAAGTTTCCAGCTTTTTAACAGCTATTGAAATCCCATTTTCAAAGCTGGCTCTATAAACTGTTCCAATTGACCCCCCACCAACCAGACACTCCTTGTCAAGCAAGGCTTTTGTGCCAGCTTCCCATGCCTCATACTTCGATGGCAAACTTTTGTTGTAAAGAACAAGTTTTCCAATAATGACATTTGAATCAGATGAAGCAAGTGGAGTGGTTTCAACAATCATTGTCTGCTCTAGTCTTCTCCTCCTTTTCCTAGCCTTCATGTTGATAATGGTTATTATGATGACACCAGTTAGAATTACAGACGCAGCAACAACGGCAACCATTGCAGAAGCACTCAACTTGGGCTTCCCGCCTTTTAGAGAAGCGTTAGAGCATGAATGAAGCGGAAAACCACAGAGATTAGTATTGTTTGAGAAGGCTAAGGGCCCGAAATTCTGGATGGTCTTACTTGAAGGGATCTCTCCAGATAGAAGATTGTATGATAGATTGAAATGAGTTAAGTGTCTCAAGTTCCCAAGAGTATTCGGGATTGAACCACTTAGCTGGTTTTCTGACAAGTCCAAATAATTCAAGTTCGACAGATTCCCTATTGTTGCGGGGATTCTCCCATCAATCTGGTTGTGGTGCAAGTCAAGAATCTTTAGGTATGACATGTTGTATAGCTTTTGTGGAATCTTCCCCTTTATGAGGTTCTCTGAGATATCCCTGCAGCAAAAAATTAAGTTTAATTCATAAAATGATATTTATTTATATAGAGCATTTTCCATTTTTTAGTCATCTGACCATTGTGACAAAGATACTTTTGGAAGCATTTCAATACTTTCATTTTTTTCATTTCTAACTATTATGTCAAAGATACTTTGGGCACCCTTCTATGAAGTTTTTCACTTTTACTTCTCTAAATATTGCGGCAAACACATTTTTGGTCCTCTAACTACTGTAACGTCAAAAAAGTGTACCAAAATTGTCACTGGCAATATTGGATGACTAAAAGTGTTAGTCACAGTAGCCGAAGGATTAAAAGTGGAAAAATCCAAATACGAGTATCAAAGTGTATGTGACAATACTTAGATGACTAGAAGTGGAATAATTCAAGACGGATACCAAAAACATGACACAATAGTATATGGGCTAAAAGTGCACAAAACTCAAATTTTATATATAAACAAGAGAGCAATTAGGGATGGTGGTTAAACTCACATCTCAAGAAGAAACCTGAAGTTGCATATCTGGTCAGGGATTTCACCACCAAGGCGGAGATTACTCAAATCCAGAACTTCAAGCCACTCTATACTTCCTAACGAGGCAGGGATTGTGCCTGTAATAGAATTACTCGCCAAGCGAATAAGCACAAGGTTTTCAAGATCTGCAATCTCAACTGGTATAGTTCCAGTAAGCCTATTATATCCCAAGTCCATATACTTCAGTGAACTGCATTTTGCAATATTTGGCGGAATTTCTCCACTAAAGTCATTCCCTGAAAGATCCAGAACCTCTAACCTTTGACTACATACTTCAATATTCTGAATCCCACCCTGAAACTGGTTACTTGAAATATTGAAATATGTAAGGTTCGCCAAAGAAAGGACCTCAAAAGGGGCTGATTCAGTAAAATTGTTGTTTCCAAGATCCAAAAGCTCTAACCTTTGACAGGAGGAGAACTGTTCTTGAACACTTCCATCGAGCAGGTTGCTTCTCAAAGACAAGTATACCATTCCAGGTATACCACAAACTTGTGAAGGTAAAATACCAGTAATCCTGTTAAAAGATAAATCCAGCCCTTCCAAACTCTGGCAGTTCCCAACTGCTGCAGGAATCGGACCAGAAAGGTGGTTATTTGAAAGCGAGATGAACCGTGCTTTTCTACAACTGTTGAACATTCCAGAAGGAATCTTCCCTGAGAACTCATTTCTGGACAGATCAAGAAAACGTAAATTTGGTAGATCCCCAAGAAATTCTGGGATTGAGCCAGATAAAGCATTTGAGCTCAAATTAATCTTCCGTAAAGATTCAATTTTGCCATAATCCCTGGGAATAATTCCAGTAAATCCATTCCCAAACAATGTAAGACTGCGCAAGGATTTCAACTCTGACAAAGCAGGAGAAAGCACTCCCACAAGCCCAGTATTATACAACAGAATCTTTACTACATTTCCATCTGAATTACAGAACACACCACTGTAATCTTGGCAAGGGTCTTTACCAGCATCCCAAGAACTCAAACTACTGAATGGGTCAGTAGAAATGTTTCCCTTGAATTGAAGCAAGATCTCTTTTTCAGTAGTTGTAAACACAATTTCAAACTCAAAGAAGCAAAAGGTACAGAAAAGAACAAGGCAATAAACATATGTACCTATTCTTTTCATGCTTCCAGCAAAGCCACCCCAGCATTATATTTCCCTGGATCAAATCTTGAAACCCTTTGATCTCATCTTTTACCACTTATAGAGTTATAGTCTTATAGACTACTGCTCTTGAAACAAATAATGCTCAGTTGTAAAGAATAAAGAAATACAAGATCTGGACCTTGACTAGAAATGGACATTTTTCAACAGTCATGAAATTGATATATATACTAATAGATGAAAAGGGTCGGAATTAAGTTAAGTGCATTAATGAGACTTCACCAAATTTTGGCCTAGGGTACAATGAACTAGGGGTATTTGGCTTGCTCTTTATCTGAGTGTGTCCAAAATACTCAAAATTTAAGAACCCTGAACTTAACACACCTTTCTGTTCAGAATTTTCAGAAAACATTTGAAGAGTTCAAGAAAGTGGGCTTGGTAAGAGAAAGAAGAGCTTCTCTTAGGTTAGCTGGCAATTATTACATGCACAGAAAGATAGTAGTATTAGGTGTGTCATGTTCCTCTCGAGTCTGAGTCCTAAAAATAGAAGTAGAATGGGAAATTGCTTCGGGTCTAGCTGGAAAGGAACTATGGGTGGGATTCAACATTTCGATTCTTACAATTATAGGAAACCCCGTGACTTTATAAGTTTCAGATGGATATTTCATGTTTCATTAATCACATTAAAGTTGATTTACATATAACAATTAAATTAAATCTCCTAATTAGGATTGGAAAAGACTAATTGGATTCCAATGCCAATTCGATAATTGTTGATTTCCGGGTTTTGTGATTGGAAATGGAGAACACATGCGATTTATGTTTCAATCTGTTTTGTGTAGAGAACCACAATTCTTTTTATTACCCAAAATCTAGATTAAGAACCTTTTTCCACTCGTTTATTTTGCAGTTTTATCTTTTCAATTTCTAAAATTGATTCTGCGCATTTATTTAACCAATATATGTGGTATATTTTGCACGTTCACCTTAGAGGACAGTTGAACTACACTAATGCTTCTAATTTAATAGAATTGAATATAGATAAAACGAAAAATGAAAAAGTGGGGAGAGAGATATACACATATACTACGTATAAGGGTTAGAACAAGTCTACTAGCGGATGTCATACAAAACTGAAGATGGAAAAGTAAGACATAAATAGGCCTGGGACCGGTTCGGTTCCTAGGTGAAATATGTGGAACCGTTTGAAAATATGAAATTTTACTAACGGTTCGGTTCTTATAAATTATTTTGTAGAACCGATAAGGAACCGAACCGTTCTTAACGGTTCGGTTCTTGTCATTTAACGGTTCCTAGTATTTAAAAAAATCTTACAAATCACGGTTAAATTTGTGTCAAAAATACATTCAATGCATGAAATTACAATACAAATATGTTGAATTTCATTTCAAACCTCAAAAGTTGAGTTTAAAAGATAAATACATAACAAACTGCAAATTTTAGAAAACAAAAACAAAACAAGATATTCGGTAAAGAAGCCCAATAAAACCAGTTAAATGAAAAATAATTTCAAATAGTTAAATAACTAAACTAAAATAGTGAATGTAATATGAAAATAAATAAGTAAATATACATTAAAATACATATACTAATAAGAAATATATATAATTTTAATTATTATATATAACGGTTCTTTAACGGTTCCACGTACATATTTTTTACAGGAACCGAGAACCGAACCGTTAATAAAAAGTAGGAACCGAACCATTAACAAATAACTAATAAATTTTGGAACCGAACCGAACCGGGTCATAACGGTTCGGTCCGGTTCGGTTCTCCGGTTCTTGGTTCCAAAGTCCCAGCCCTAGACATAAATGAGTTAGAGTTAAATTTTAGAACTCGTTTGGTGATCATGTTATTCGGCTTATTAGCAATTATTAACCAACTTTTAACTAAACATGTAACTTTTGATTTCACGCATTAAGGTGCCGTTTGGTAACACCCCTTTTCGGCTTATCAGGCTTATTAGCCAACTTTTCCACCAAACACGTAATTTTTGCTTTAGCTCGCTGAATTGTGTAATAAGCAGAAAAAGTAAGATTGGAGTTACTTTTCTGGCTATATTGACTGAAGTTACTGTAGATGACCATTTTAGCTATTTTTACATATAATTTTTTCTTTATTTTATTAATAAAATATAATTTAATTTTTTTTTTCATAAATCAGCATAATCAGCCAATGCAGCCACTTCAGTCAGAACTTTAGAAATTTCAGCAGAATCAGCCAAACCAGCCGATTTTCCTTCTACCAAACGGGCTCTAAGTTGCAAAATAATCAAATAAGTAAGATCAAAGTTATTTTACTTACTGTAAATGACAATCCTGAGCTATTTTTCATATAAATGTTTCTATATTTTATAAATAAAATATATTTTAAATGTGACTTTTTTAACAATACGAAAACTTAGAGAAACTTATGTAGATGTGATGATGTGAATGGATAGCATGCATATGAACTTGTAAACGAGGATAATGGATGTTTTTCATTGAATTAAGGACACACATTTCCACCTTTCCTAGCTTCTCTATTGCCCGAGCAGAAGTTGGAACCACAACACCAATACAAGCTGAAGCATTTGATTGAGCCTCTATGACCATTAGACAATCACATTTTAGTGTCATGTGTTTGCTACTAAAGGAAGAATGAAAGAGAAAAAAAAACAAATTGTAATATGCTAGTTGTACATATGTTTACTTGGACTTGGGTGTGAAAAATTGAAAATATGAACTTTTCTATATTTAATTATGATCTTAATACAATTTCTCACATTCTTATGTTATTCTCTTTTTGGTACATCCGAGTAGGCATTCTTATGTTAAAAACTTTCAAATGAAATTTAGATGGCAAAGATGAATGAAGACAGCATGTAACCAAGAACAGGAAAGTGGCAACCCGAACCGGACCGAACCATTATGACCTAGTTCGGTTCGATTCCAACATTAAGAGGTCATTTATTAACGGTTTGGTTCCTAAGCTACTTTTTATTAACTGTTTGGTACTCAATTTTGATAAAAAAAAATATGTATGTGTAGTTGTTCAGGAACCCTTATATGATAATTAAGTTTCTATCTATTACTACTTATTAGTATATACGGAGTATATTTTAATATTCATTTAGATATTAAATTCACGTAGTGATTTAGTTTAGTTAATAGTGTTGATAAAGTGATAAGTATTTAACTGATTTCTCATGTGGTGAATGTCCTCTTTTGTTTTCTCTAAAAATTTAATTTAGCTTAGTATGTACTTATGTTTGAAACTTAATTTTTGAGGTTTGAAATGACGATAACCTTTAGGCAGTGTTTGGTTGAAGGTAATTTCACATATAAGGCGGAATCTGATGTCCGGAATGTGAGATACTTGTGTTTGGTTCGTGGGTTTGATTTTTTTTTGGGAATGTTAGATGCCCAAAAGTACAAAAGGTAATCAGATGACCCGTTATGTGAAACCCACCACAGGCTTAGGTTTTATAAGATTCCCGGTTACTTCATAATTTTTTTCCAAAAAAAACCCTACGCTTCATTACGCAGCTCTCTTCCTGCTTGAAACACATGACCGCAGCTCTCTTCTTTTGAGGAACGTCCCGCACAGCTCTCCATCTTCAAAATCAAGTAATGTCTTTCTCTATTTTTCAAGTTTGTGTATGTTTTCTTCTACTCCCTCCTTGTTCAATCAAACCACAAACTTAACGTATTTGTATTTCTTATAATTTCAAGCGTTGAATGTTTCTTAACGTATGTGACAAACTTAGTACGTAGTGATTTGTAGAAGTTTTTTAAAAATTTAGGAAATAAAAGAATGACTACAATCAAATCGTGAAGGTTTGGTTCGGCTCATATCAATTCCACAGATAATTTAAAAGTTGAGATTTTTTAAATGACTCCACATGTTTTACCCTAAAACCATGAACCAAACATACCCTTAAAACCAAACGGGTCTTAAGTTACTTTTATGATACATACAAAAAAGATCAGGTCCAGCCCTCCCCGGTCCAGCCGCCGTCCGAACTCCGCCGTTTGGGGCGGTTCCCGGTGGAATTTTTTGATGAAATTTTTTGAGCATGTTCTTCATCAAGTCTAGTTTGTTCATACCAAATTTCAGCTCAAAATTCGACCGGGAAGGCATTCAAATCATTTTTTGAAGTTGACTGCGCCAAAATATACAGTCAACTTCATAAAAATGCAGTCAACTTCAAAAAATTATTTGAATGCCTTCCCGGTCGAATTTTGAGCTGAAATTTGGTATGGACAAACTAGACTTGATGAAGAACATGCTCAAAAAATTTCATCAAAAAATTCCACCGGGAACCGCCCCAAACGGCGGAGTTCGGACGGCGCCTCCCGTCCCTCCGGCTGGACCTGATCACTTCTCGGTATACATAATTTTGGCTATTACAGTGTACATCAACTAGCTTTGATATCTTCAGCAACTAGCTTTCAAGACATCGAAGAACACTAAAATGGTAGTTCCGTCCTTATTCTCTCCTTCAAAGATCCTTCCTTTTCCTAATCCCAAGCAAATGCAACTTTCCTCAGCTACGAAATCCCCAAAATTTCTTTCTGCTTTGTTGCACCCAATACCCTGCATTTTCTATACCGGGCGAACAATGGCTACGGTTCTGGGGGTCGCTGGTCTTTCTTTAGTCTCCATTTCCGGGCCTGTTTCTGCTTCCGAGCTAGCTGCAATGGGCTCATCAGCTATGCAATTTTCTGAACCTTCCAATGCTCTTTCTCTACCCACCTGGGCTGTTCATGTCTCCAGTGTCATCGAATGGTAACGTTTCTTTCATTCTTCTTCACCTGGAATTATTTATGTTCGTCTCCAAGCCTAAAAATTAGATCTTCAGTCACCAGAATTTTTACGTTTTATTGATTAACTTAAGCATTATTGTCCTCTAAAATGAAGGAATGGTGAGTCCAAATGAGGCAAAAGAGTATTCTTCAATAAAAGATTAGGTTTGCTTATATTCAAATGAGCATTGTATACAATCAAAATGAGTGTAAAGGATAACAAGAACACGAAGTAATGAATACTCTCCATTCACAAAATCAGTAGCTATAAAGAATTATACAAAAACAAGTGGATGTAAAATTTGTTGGAGATAATTTGTGTGAATAAGAAAGAATTTTGGAGAAGATGGCAAAGCTACAGCTCTTGCCTTCAGAATGTAATGATTTATTCTAAGTTCTTGATCCATCTATATACCAAAGGGTATTTATAGATGGTGATGGATACATCTGGAAGATTATATGAGTAGATACATAAGAACCTCATAAATATAGCTAAGGAAATTTGAACAGACTCTTTAGAAACTCAAAAGTCATTCATGAACTTTACAAAGTAACCTTTTAACACCCCCTCTTAATTTGTAATGTTCATGACATCCTTGAACTGGATAAGTTTCTCAACACCCACAGCTTTGGTAAGAACATCAGCTGGTTGATTTGTGGTCTTGATATACTCCAAGAAAACTTTTCCTTTGTGAATAATGTCACGAATGTAATGATGCCGCAACTCAATGTGTTTTGATCTGGCGTGGAATACTGGATTCTTGGTCATCAAAATTGCAGACTGATTGTCACAAAAAATTGGTGTCGGTTCAGAGATATTTTGTTGGAGAATTTTCAGAATCCTCCTTAACCAAATTGCTTCTCGAGCTGCTTCATTTGCTGCGATATACTCAGCCTCTGCAGATGATAATGCCACAGAATTTTGCTTCTTTGAACTCCATGAGATCGGTTTCGAACCAAAGCAGAAAATGTAGGCTGACGTACTTTTTCTGTCATCTTGACTTCCAGCCCAATCACTATCTGTGAAGCCAACTAATTTACTGTTCTCTTCTTTCTCAAATTTGATTCCAAGATTCTTAGTTCCTTGAAGATAACGAAGAACTCTTTTTGCAGCAGAAAAGTGAATCTTGCTAGGATTTGCCATAAATCTAGAAATCAGACTCACCGAGTAGACAATGTCAGGTCTTGTGTTGGTTAGAAAGATCAATGAACCAACGAGACTTCTGTAAACAGTAGGATCCGACTTTTCTGCCCCGTCTTCTTGCTTCAGCTTTTCATTGACAGCAATAGGAGTCTCTGTTGGTTTGCAACCCTCCATGCGGAACTTTTTTAACAAGTCTGAGGCATATTTTTCCTGTGAGATAAAGATCTCTCCTTTCTTTTGCTTGACTTGCATTCCAAGGAAATACTTCATCAAGCCGAGATCAGTCATCTCATATTCTTTCATCATTGTTTCTTTGAACAATCTCACCATTTCATTATTTGTTCCTGCATAAATCAAATCGTCAACATAAAGACACACCATCAAAAAATCAGTTTTCGTTTTCTTCACATAAAGTGATGGTTCTGATGGACTTTTCACAAAGCCATTCTTCAAGAAATATGCATCAATTTTGCTGTTCCAAGCCCGTGGGGCTTGTTTCAAGCCATAGAGTGCTTTCTGTAATTTGTAGACTTTTCCCTCCTGGCCTTTTATTTCATATCCTTGAGGTTGCTCAACATAAACCTCTTCTTCCAACTCTCCGTTAAGAAAAGCTGATTTGAAATCGAGTTGAAAGACTTGTAACTCCATTTGGGCTGCAATGGCTAGAACCGTTCTAATAGTTTCCATCCGCGCCACAGGTGCATATGTTTCAGTAAAGTCAACTCCGAGCTGTTGAGAATAGCCCTTCGCGACCAACCGTGCTTTATGTTTCTGCACACTTCCATTTTCATTGTACTTGGTCTTAAAGACCCATTTCAATCCAATAGCTTCCTTCCCTTCCGGAAGAACCACCAGCTTCCATGTTGCATTTTTTTCAATGCTTCTCATTTCATCATCCATCGCCTCTCTCCATATATTCTGTTTTATAGCTTCCTCAAAGTATTGAGGTTCTTCTGCAAAGAAAGCACTAAATGCAAAATTGCATGAAGCATATATATCTTCAAGAGAGCGATACTTTCTGGGATGATCTTCTGAATCTGAATCAGATTCATCTTCTTGAATATTATCACCCGATGAATCTTGAGTATCCTTCAGCGGTACAAGTTCAACAGGAGCAAGTGTTTCAGTTTCACTTTCCCATTTCCAGGTTGCGTTTTCATCAAAAACAACATCCCTTGAAATCACCAAAGCACTAGTTTGAGGATTTAAGAGACGATAGCCTTTCGATTCATCACTGTAGCCAATAAAGATGAGTTTTTCACCTTTTTCATCAAACTTTTCCCTGCTTTGAGCAGGAACAAGAGCATATGCAATGGAACCAAATACTTTGAGATTACTTATAACTGGTTTTCTTCCATGCCATGCTTCAAAAGGTGTTTTGTTGCGGACTGCCTTTGTAGGGGATCGGTTAAGAATATAAACGGCAGTAGAAACAGCTTCTGCCCAGAAAATATTTGGAAGACCTTTGCCTTTCATCATGCTTCGTGCCATTTCTTCAATGGTTCGATTTTTCCTCTCGGCGACACCGTTTTGTTGTGGTGTATGCCGAACTGTGAGCTGCCTCTTGATCCCTTCCTCTTTGCAGTAGTTCATGAAAGGTTTGTAGATGAACTCTCCCCCTCGATCAGTTCGCAGGCATTTCAGCTTGTAACCACTTTCTTTTTCAGCAGAGGCTTTGAAGTGCATGAATTTTGTAAAGGCTTCCGACTTTTGCTCAATAATATAAATCCAAGTCATTCTTGTATAATCATCAACAAAAAGAAGAAAGTACCTCTTGTTATTGAAGGAAGGTGTTCTGGTTGGTCCACATATATCAGCATGCACTAATTCAAGTGGTGCATTAGCTCTCCAGGAGGTCTTTGGAAAGGGGAGCCGATGCATCTTCCCGTAGACACATCCCTCACATACTCCTTTAGTGAGTGTAATTTGAGGCAGTCCAACAACCATTTCTTTTTGCTTCAGGAGCTGCAGGCCCTTGAGGTTCAAGTGCCCAAACCTCAAATGCCAAAGACGAGTGTCATCTGGGGTCGCACTTTTCCAAGCACTGTGTGATGTCATACTCAGTGGAAATAAGTTGTTTGAAGTCATTTTGACAGTAGCAATTTTATCTCCAGATTTCTTATCAATAATCTCACATTTTTCATCATCAAAAATCATCTTGTATCCATTTCTCATCATTTGTCCGATACTCAAAAGATTTTGGGAGATATTAGGAGAGTAGTGGACATCATGAATGAATTTGTTACCTTTATTGGTCTGTACTGCAACAGTCCCTCTTCCTTCAATTTTTACATGCTTCCCATCACCGAGTTCGACATGAGAAGAGTAGCTCTCGAGCTTGTGAAACTCTTTCTGATTTCCTGTTAAGTGGTTGCTGCATCCACTATCCAGAAACCATGTCTGGTTAGTCTTTCCTTCATCCACGAAAGAAAGAAACAGTTTATTTTCCTCATCTTCCACGGTGAAATGAACTCCTTTCTTCTTTTCACCATTCCCTTCTTTGTTCTTAAACCAGCAATCTTTATCGGAATGGTTAGGAATCTTGCATCTAGTGCATTTCCACCAACAGTCTTTAGAGTCATGACCATTTCTACCACAAATAAAGCATCCAAGGTCAGAGTTACCAGATTTTTGCCTTTGGGAAAAATCTGGCTTCGCTCGTACTTTTCCTCCTCGTGGAGAATTTCTCCCTTTGCTTTTATTTGAGTAGTTCCCATGAGATGATTTCCCCCCTCCTTGCTGCTGGGATTTTTGTGAAATATTTGCTTTGGCTTGAAAAGCTTGCTCCAGGGGTTGGTTGTTGTATCTGCTTGCTCTCAGCTCATGTGCTTCTAAAGATCCCATAAGTTCATATTGAGTGAGTGTGTTGAGATCTTTAGTCTCAATGATAAGAGCAACAATATGTTAACTTCTGAGGAAGACTTCTCAAGATTTTATTGACAACTTTCTTGTCTGGGACTTCACTTCCACAGCTTTTGATCTGACTGATAATTTCTGCAAGTCTGGAATAGAAATCCTTCACGAGCTCACCTTCTTTAATTGTCAGAGACTCAAATTGATCCCATAATGATTGTAGCCTCACGGAGATTGCTTTTTCAGATCCTTGAAACTCTATTTTCAGAGTATCCCATGCATCTTTGGCCTTTTTTGTGCCAAAAATACGAGGATAAATTGTCTTGCTTACACCTTGCTGAATAATCCGCATTGCCATAGCGTTCTTCTTCACATTTTCTTTATTTACCTTCGCATCTTCTTGATTGGGAGAAATCTTATAACCTTCTTCGACTATGTCCCAAATATCTTGTGAGAGGAATATGGTCTCCATTTGAGAACTCCAATAGTCATAGTGTTCACCATCAAAAATCGGAATTTGGCTAGAAGTATATGAGAAAATGGAATTTGGAGTTGTCGTCATATTGACGATGAACCTGGCTCTGATACCAAAATTGTTGGAGATAATTTGTGTGAATAAGAAAGAATTTTGGAGAAGATGGCAAAGCTACAGCTCTTGCCTTCAGAATGTAATGATTTATTCTAAGTTCTTGATCCATCTATATACCAAAGGGTATTTATAGATGGTGATGGATACATCTGGAAGATTATATGAGTAGATACATAAGAACCTCATAAATATAGCTAAGGAAATTTGAACAGACTCTTTAGAAACTCAAAAGTCATTCATTCACGAAGTAATGAATACTCTCCATTCACAAAATCAGTAGCTATAAAGAATTATACAAAAACAAGTGGATGTAAAATTACATCTGGATGTATGATATAATATTCCTAACATTATGCTTTTAAATTTGAACTTTCTTGATCAGTTCAGTTTTGTCAGATAAATTCGACGAACCATCACAAATTATATCATACATCCGGCAGCCATACACCTGCGTGGCTATGTTATTTTTGGGATATCTTTAGCTCATTTTCAATGTTCGTTTCCTTTTGTCTCACTGTGTTCATGCATTTTTCAATCTTGATCATGAAATTAGCGCGTACATAGGGTGCTTTTCTTTTACAGATTGTTCATTTGCATAGGGTGCTTGCTCATTGTCCTTTTAAAGACAGCACATGTGTGTATGTTGAATATTCGGCTGTCATTGTACATGCGAATGTATAGTATACCAGTGCATGAAGTATAAGTAAATTTCGATGCTAGATATGGGTCCCTCTGGTCTCGTTTCTGTTCTAAATTAAAATATCGAACTGCTCATCTGTTGCCTTATTTAACACTTAATAGGATCACTGCTATGGCATTGGTTTGGCAATATGGAGAGAGGTCAGGATATGAATCTTGGAAAGGGCTATCATGGGGTATGGTAAGTCATTGCACCATTTCAGTAATGCTCATCTAATTTCCTGTGCTTCAGTATATTATTCAAAGATGTTTTGAACGTCTAGAGTTTTTAAAATATATGTGCTTTGATTACTCATTGTTTAAATAGTTGATATATGCATTTTTTAAGTTTTCAGAAGCTTAGTGGAATATGATGTATAAGGTTACCTAAAACTTATATTTATAGGTAGGACTTCTTTCTGGTTCTTCTTATACTTGATTTTGTAGACTGTAGAGATTGGTCAATTGCATTTAACATCAAGTCATGATAATTAGTGAATTTTGACGAAATGGAAACTTCTTTCTGGTTTCTTTTACATTTTTTTTTGTAGAGATTGGTGAATTGCAATCAACATAAAGCAAGATAATGAGAGGTTCTGTTTGAAATGGCCAATTGTTGGCAGTAGCACGAGTGTAAGGAACTAAGGAAGTACTGTTTTTGGTATGGCATGATGTTTATAGAGATTTGATAGATTTAGGATTAGTAGGCCTCTTGAGGTCACTCAACAAGGCAATAATGCCCTCGGGCTTCACCATAAATTCAATTGATTAGCTAGATTAACCCCAAGTTTGATAAACCAGTTTCCTCTCTCACAACCAAAAATGGATCACAAGATGCTGTGGTGTTCCAAACAGATAGTCAAACATACGAAGTGGTCAAGTGGATTAGAACTTTTCAGGATAGAGTCAAAGACATTCGTTGTAGTATTTAATAGTTAAAGTTGATAATGTTTGAAAATAAATAAAAAACGATTGATGAAAATTGAAGTATTTTGTAAAAAAGATAATGATATGTTAGTAATGTTATTACTTATTAGAGAAATATAATAGAAAAAATGAAAATCAATTTTAAGCACATCCCTCTTGCTTACACTTTTAGCTTTAAAATGCTTAAAGTTAAGTATAATAGTTAATCAATGCAAGATCTCATAAACCGATTTTCCTCACCTTAATTGTGGTACTCTAACAACATTTGTTTAGCAGTTGGTAGCTATTCATGAACCTATGCACATGCCTATTCTAGGTGAGGTAATGCGTGTATTTGTTGCTCAGGTGCCATTACTGGGCGGAGCACTTTGTGCCTGCACTTGGCATTTCTTCTATAACTCGGAATCTCTTGAGGTAAACAGAAACTCATATTGGGCAGGGCGGCGGTAGAAGGGTGAGACTTTGTTGATAGTATTCACCTTTTGCAAGTTGCAACCTCCTTGTTGAACTTCATACCCAAATCCAGATTCAATGTGACTTCTCCCCCTGCTCTTTTATCAGAGAGCAAAGGGGGGACCAGTGGTGGCAACAGCCCCCCTCCCAATCTTGTTCTATATACTACAGTTTAATTATGTTTAATTTTAACGAAACATTGAATTTCACCATTCTAAATTCTGGTAAACAGTAATTTGCTTCTTACAATGCTGCCACCTTTCCTTCATGAATAGTATACCTCATCTAGTCCTTTTGGCTTTCCTTATAAAGTTAGTTAATCAATGGCTACACTTTTCCCATGCATATCAGATTCTGGTGGCTCTTCAAGCAGCTTTGACTGTAATTGGTAATGGTACAATGTGCATTGCTGCATTCCGCATATATAAATCATCTCAAAGGAGTTCCAAATAGTTGTTCATTCACCTTGTTTGGTTGATTTCATAGTGTTGTACTTCCCAAATATATATGGATAATATGTAATGGCTTTGTTCACTACGTATTAGTTGATTGTGTCGGTGGTTTGTGTTAATAGTTTTGATTTGTTGATTATGTTAACTTGTTAAAATTAATTGTTTGGTAAAGTTGGTTGTTTCTAAAAAAAACACTTGATTGTGTAAACCATGTGCATGGAGCTGATTGTGTCAGCGGTTTGTGTTAGTTGTTTTGGATTTGCCGATTATGTTAAATTGTTAATTGATTAAAATTAATTGTCTCATAGAATTGGTTGTTTCTAAAGCATGTGTAAGAGCATCTAAAATGCATTGATGTTAACATTAAAAAAAGATGGCCACGTCACACGGGAAGAAAGGCGCTCTAATTTTTCTGCTCCAATGCTTTCTTTCCTCGGTCATGTGGTGCTGAAGTGTCAAAAATAAATGCGGACGTTGTGAAGCTCACTTTCTCATTCTAAACAGTCTGTTAACAGGTTGACTCACCGAAATAAACACATCGTGGGTATGAACGAGGATCTTTGGGGGGAAACGGTGCTCATCTCCTAGAATCGGTCGCCTCAACTATATTCTACATCCTGATACAAATCCTCCTCAAGCAAGAAAAGCCATTTATCATACTCAGCCCTTTTCCCATAACCATGCTCGATTCAAATTTAGGGGTGGGTAGAACCTTAGAAATACCGAAATATCGGTATACCGCACTTACCGTACCGAAGAATACCGGAAAATACCGAAATATTGGTATACCGTCATTTACGGTACGGTATGATACCGTACCGATTTATTTTGGTATGATAACGGTAAATGTTTTCAAATACTGTGGTATACCGGTACAATACTGTACCGCCTCCCTACCCAACAATTACTTTAAATTCTAAAATATTGTAAAAGTCCATTACAGTTTTGAAGCCCAAAATTAATACTTAGGTTGGTTACAAATACTAAAATACAAAAAGAAAGGTCCAATTTCTCAAACCACTACAATCTTCTATGTTTCTACTACGTAACATTCAAACAAACAAACACTAAAGACTAATAGTAATGTATTAATGTCCATAAACCAATCCATCTTCGCGATAGCTGAACCGCTGACGAGTGAAGATGAATATACTTGTGTGACGAGTGTATCTACATAATGATATATTCCGAGAGTCGAGTCACACAAGGTTGTCTGAAATTCTTATTCAAATTTTTTTAAACTACAAAAATGACTAAATACACAATATCATATTAGGCATAAATGATTCTATATCCATGTTTTTTGAATAATTTTATTTGTTTTTGTTAAAGATCATTATTCATATAGTTATATCTATATTGTTCAAGTTATTTTAGAAGAATATGTTATTTTTTAATACCTGCATGTTGAACTGCTTAAATATGCTAATAATAATTATGTCATCAGTAACACCGATTTTGTTAGTCTATGATAATTTGTTGTATTGGGAGACATGCATGGTAATTTATCGATACCGTACCGTTACCGAACCAAAACTTTGGTATACCGAAATGCGGTATACCGAAACTTCGGTAAGGTAACGGTATATAAATTTTGTATGCCGAAAGTTTCGGTACGGTAAAAGTATGAGAGAAAATATTCGGTATACCGTACCGAACCACCCCTAGATTTAATAGCTGCTTTTAACCTCCCTAAAAGCATTTGCTAAGATGAAACAGTTGACGTTAGACTGCTTGAGGATGACCTCCGAATAAAAAGAAATACTGAAAATTAATTATTCGATTAATGAATTTTCTAACTAAATGAGAATCAGGCATGGTTTCTTGTAAAATCAGTTACGCCATTACCGAAGATAAGCATGGTTAATTAAATTCTAATTAAAAGTTCGGACGTCAACACAAATGCATTGGAGAGGTTTTTGAGGATTTCATTATTTGGGTTTTGACATTCATTCCATGTGGATAGACATTCATACATTAGTTGACACGTGTCACAATTTTTGCAATGTTAAAAGCTTTGCATGGAGCCGAGTGTTTTTCTTATTAGTGGACAGTAGTAATTAATTGGGGTTTTTTCAAAATTATTACTAAAATAAAACTTATTTACTAAAACTATTTTACTAAAATAAAACTTATTTACACAGTGGTAAAATAAAATGCCATGAAAAGGTTGTATCCTTGGTGTATTCAACTAATCAATTTTGGCCTTTTGGACTGAACAGTCTAATATAAAAGGCATTCACCAAACATAAAACATTGGCTGATTTGAGTAATCAAACATCTAAAATAAGTCAAATTGGCAAACAATGATGTCAAACATTTTGTAAAATTATTCATTGTTGAATGTTGAGTTGTATTTTTTATGTGAATATAGAGTGAGACTTCACATAATTCAAATGTTAGTCTGATAAATAAACAAATAAATAAATAAATAAATAAATAAATAAATAAATAAATAAATAAATAAATAAATAAATAAATAAATAAATAAATAAATAAATAAATAAATAAATAAATAAATAAATAAATAAATAAATAAATAAATAAATAAATAAATAAATAAATAAATAAATAAATAAATAAATAAATAAATAAATAAATAAATAAATAAATAAATAAATAAATAAATAAATAAATAAATAAATAAATAAATAAATAAATAAATAAATAAATAAATAAATAAATAAATAAATAAATAAATAAATAAATAAATAAATAAATAAATAAATAAATAAATAAATAAATAAATAAATAAATAAATAAATAAATAAATAAATAAAAAATAAATAAATAAATAAATAAATAAATAAATAAATAAATAAATAAATAAATAAATAAATAAATAAATAAATAAATAAATGCATTTACCTATAGTCAAACTGTCAAACAGTATATTCATGTGTAAATTACACATATTTGACATTTATTGTCTTTCTAGGGCATGCTCCCAAAAAGTATAATTTTGACCATATATAAAATCAATCATCATTTACCCCAGTGCCGCAAAGGCTCCCACCTACGGTGGGGTAAGGGGGGTCGGATGTACGCAGTCTTACCCCAGTACTAAAGCACATAGAGACTGTTTCCCGATGACCCATAGTGAAAATTGGGACCAAAATTGCATGGACTGACCACTGCTTCATAACAAAGAAACGCAAACAGTAAGGTAAACAATTTTGCTTTATTCCATCATATTCTCAAGCCAAGAAATAATGAATCTTTGACTCCATTGGCCATTGCAAATGATGGAATATAATTTTGACCATATGATTATAAAAATGGTAAAGACATTGGTGGAGTTGTATGATAGGGGTTGGATGTTGGTGTCGTAATTTGCATATGATCCATGATGAATGTGTTTTAGTTATAGTGGAACAATATATTAAAGTGTACATAACTCAATGATCAATTAAAGTAATGTCACTTGTAATTATATGTAAGATATATTTGACATTTAATGTCTTCCTCGGAAATGCTTCCAAAAAGTATGCTTTTGACCATATGCTCAAAAAACACATTGTTGGCTTGTATGATTGGGGTTGGATACTTGGATATGGGCGAAAATTTGGTGTATCAATTTGCATATAATCCATGATTGGTGTGTTTTAAATTACAAGTGTTAGAATGCATGATTAAAATGAAAAAGTATCTTTTGTGTCTTGTTGTTCGTTAATGGAGCAAAAGTTTCACAGAAACGACACATTTCTTTGTGCCAAAATATAGGATCGACACTTAGCGCCATATCACTTCATTAAGATCTGTTTAAAATGAGATATCTTTCAGAAATCATATTGATTGTGATGACAGCATTGCATAGTGAATATCCGAACGGATAGCAAATGTCTAAGATAGTAAGATCATGTGGAAGGCCTCCATATCTAGCATCTAAAACACCAATTAATAGGTAAATAACATAGTAATCAAAATGCTCCTTTAATATTTAATTTTAATATGTTCTACATTATATTTTTGTCAAATTCCAACTCATTTGTTGTTATTCAATAGAATCTTTGGAGTACTATTGAGTAAGTTTTAATTACGGTGTATTATTATTACCAATACTTCCTTCACCCCAATTGGCCAATTCCCCCCAAAAGAGTTTGTCGATTCTATTTAAAGTATGAAATATGTCGTATTTCTCTTTTTTCTATATAAATTTCAACCACACAATTTTTACTTTATTATTTCACGTGTAAGACAATTTTGACCAAATTTTATGAGATCAAAGCAAGATATATTATTAGAGGTTAGAGTTATTATAAGTAAATCAATCGTAATCACACAAATCGTGATCACACAAAGAACTTTGAAATGGGACGAATGGAGTATTACCTTTTTTACAGTATAACAGTTACTTGCATTAATAAAAGCTATGTGTATGCTTAAATGTATTAATAGAACGTAGCGAGAAAAATATTTGCAAAGATCGGCTGATAAAAAGGCGATCTGATGTTTTTCAGAAGCCTTGGATTGACTAACTTCACAGCACAATCAGGACACGTATCAATCAACAGATAATCTTTGCCCACTTCAAGCCAAATATGATATACTAAAAACATTAATGCAGTCCCGTTGAGCCACTACATACAAACTAACCAAGCCCCACTGTAGAGTCCTTCCTGCCGCCATCATCCTCCAAACTTGAAGGCCTAACTATATGGTCTATAAGACCATACTCAAGAGCTTGTGAGGCATCGAAACGCTTCAGCCGGCTCAAGTCCTTACGGATCTGCGGAATTACAGTAGACACAGCATAACATAACTACGTTAAAGGTCAGATAATCATGTATATCTGACTTCTAATAATATATACTGCCTCTAATAACATGAGTCAACATACGAAATCAGATCAATCCTCCACGTATATGCTCTCCACTCACTTCATTCTCTTCAAAGTCATACTTGACCGCTCTAATTGACAATACATAATAAAGCATTGAGTGGATAAAACTGTCGATATGACAGAGCTAATTATAACATGGCTTCTAAGGTTGATGGTAATATTTCGAGAGTTGTAGAAATCAGGTTTCAAGGATCGAAGAGCTTATTTGCAGCTCACACTTATTCAATCTAAAACCAACAAGATATACTACAGCCATCTGCTAAGAGATACTGCTTAAAGTTTGTGAAGACAAATAAGAGATGGTACCTTTTCAACAGGATGGCCTGTCTTAGCAGCCAACTCCTCAAATAGGTAATCTCTAATCCTGAGAAGTTCATTTGCTTCATTGCGTATGTCATCGGCCTAAATAGAATTCAGCACATTGTAAATGGGAATGGAAAAATTCGCAATGTGTGTTCTG